AATAATGACTAACTGTACTTGACCTGTCAACTCGAATTGGAATCTTTAAAGTCAGATGTACAACCTTCCACAAAACTCTATCCAAGGGCAATCGGAGTTCTGTTTATGAATTTCAAAGCCCAATTAAGGATTGCTGCAATGTATAGACACAGTTTATTGAAGACTACGAGGCGTAAAGCCCACAAAACTCACGTTGGGTGTTCATCGCACTTGTGTAGATTGTTTCTGCTACCGTCGTGTTACCAACCAAAGTTTGTTAAAATGCAAAATTATCAATCAGAAAATGATACCAATTTTTTTACCATCAGCCGCAGGCTTCAATTCACAACCTTCCTGAGAAAAGAAACAAATGTCCACCTCTTGCCAATAAAATACAGGCGCATAGTAACCGAAATTTACACATTTGTAGTGCCTTTGAAACAATGAATGTGACAGAAAACGATAAAATGTAGAGACAGCCATGGCCATAGAAATGGCAGACAGGCATTTCTGTATTAAGAGGGTCCTCAATTAATAAAATTGTCACATGAATGCTCATCGTCATTAAGAATTAAGACGCAGAATGATTAACACAAGTGAATCGCTTACCAGTGGATATAATCAGACTAACTGATTCCTCGTTTTCAAGTACCAACATATACTCAAACCCCACAAACAGCAACTTACGATCCACTCTTTGTTTCCTCTGCCAGCAATCGTGCAGTTGCGGTAACAACAGTGGCACCAAGTGCGGGACAGACGTCAAGAAGGCAAAAGCAAGCCCGGGCCACGCAGAAAGCACCATGAACCCCTCCACGTGGTGGCAGTCCGTTGGAGACGCGTTGAACCATGTCACAACACCGTTCCAAGAGTTTTTCAACAGCGGAGAGGAGAACTTTCCACGTAGTAACGTCCTCGGAAGCTGATATAGCAACGATCTCGCAGAGTCGGTCATTGAAAGTGCTGCAAATACTGAATAAACGAAACCGCAGTAAACACCTTGACTATTAGTTTGGTTCTATCTATCCAAATCTACTGCCCTCATCCCTCTTTATAAGTCCCGCCATTTAAATGGACCTATTTTCATAATTGCTTTCACTCCACAACACTTTGAACACGAAGTGGATGGAATTTCGTCAATACGCACGCCTTTTCGATTCGATTTGTAGCCGGATCTAACGCAAGAGCGATATAGCAACAGAGGTACCGGAGTAAAACTACTATAACTATTTCAAATACCTCTAAGTGTCCCGACATTTATTAATGAAGTCGGAGGAAAGGTAAAAGGCTTCCTATGCTAAAACTACATAAAGACCTCCGTTTCCGTTACTTAAACGACATACCATTTCAATTGAGGTGTGACGAGATGTCTTTTAAGGTTAATTTCATATCGAATGTCACTCATTGTTCTTCCTTCCCCACAACAGCTTGAAACTGCGTAGATGGCAGCAGTACTTTCCAATAGACGGCTCAGCCGCCATCGTAGGGGACCTGGGAGTTGGTTGGTAGCTTTCGGAGTGGTCGATGAGTTTGGGAGGAGATCT